TTCTTGGAAAAAACACCCATTGCACACTCCACGTGGTCCTAGGAAGAAAGATGATCAGAGCAGTCTCTCCCTACATGGTGTGTGGCAGGGAATCAGTTGACCCATACCTGAAAACTCAGTCTCTATTCCCTTAGCTACAGGGGTTTCCTAAGACCAAAGAACATAGGCCCTGAGATTTAATATATCAACACTAGGAGAGAGTCTTACTTCCTTTAGGATTGAGAATTATTAAGACAGTATAAACCAATTGCCTACAGTCATCTTTGCTGACAACAAAAAGGAATCTGTCTGTGACAGGAAAATTGAAGCCGAAGCACAAAAGAAGCAGAGATAAGCAAAGATGAAAAAGAAAGTTTTGAGATATCTTAGACCCTGGATCCCACTTCAGTAGCCTGAAGCTACTTCATCTGGACTACAGTCAGTGCTGCTATAATACAATATAGGCTTTCCCCAAAATTACTGCACTATGCAAAGTTGTTCAGTAAAAATCACAGGGCTTATGGGGGAAATGGGACTAGGAGTACAAGATTTAAAAACTTTGTCACTGACACATATACAAAAAATATATGAACTTAATGAAATGGTAGCACAGTTTTACACACTAGCTGGTGATGAAATACAAAAATACTACAATGAACATGGTGCTTTAGTTTGAAAAAGACCCGAAGCTTGCTTGTGGAAATGGGTATCAGAAGGGTTGCAAGTTATGAGTTACTGTGAGGTGACAGATGGATGGTTATCTGAAATCAGGTGGAAAGCTGAAACACTAGATGTGGATGGGTATGACTCAAAAGATACAAAGAAGTGAGGCAACTGGTAGATGTCTGAGGTCTACGTGTGTATTTCATGTTCTCCTCTGCAACTTGATTCATCTGGGTTTAGTTTTCTGTTTTCACCTGATGTTTCTGGCTGACAAAATTGCACATAAGAAAATGCAAAATTCCTCTTACACTTAAACTGTTCTCTAATACATTAGTCACAAAGGAACAGACAAGTGTTAGAGCAGTCTGTACTTGACTATGTAAGTGAATAAATTCCCTTTATTGGTTTAACATAATTCCAGTTAGCTTTCTTCCAGGGTCCTGAATAGTAATATATAGCTATAAAATATTTCATTACACATCAGTAACACATTTTAAGTTCCAGTCTGGCTTCTCTGTGTCTCTTGACACATTTCTAGACTCTCTCTACTTTCAGTTCCTGTGTGCTCAGAGATTGAAAATTCATTTTAATATTAACATAACCCATCATTAAGAAGGTGAAATGGGAACTTCCTTGGTGGTCCAGTGGCATTAAGACTTTGCCTGCCAATACAGGGGATGCGGGTTCAATACCTGTTCAGGGAGCTAAGACCCCACATGTTTCACAGTCAAAAACATAAAACAGAAGCAATATTGTAACAAATTCAATAAAGACTTTTAAAAAATAAGGTAGAATGGACCTGAAAAAGGCATAAAAATTCAAAGTCAAAAGATTTAAAAAATTTTGTTATTATAATCTGTAACACAACTGACTTTTCAAACAGATGATTGAAAGTTGATGATTACAGAATTTAATCTTGGCCCTGACAAGTTTTGGCCATTTTCAGAATGATTTTTCCCATGGATTCTGCTACTTTAAAATCCATAAAAACTCCCATGGTGATTGTAATATTAAATCTTTTCATGTAAATATTATATCTCAAATCACCTAACGTTGTACATAAAAAAGTTTTTCCCTGGGTTATCACTTTAGCTCTTGTTTATGCAAAGGCCTACATGCATTACAGTTTTATCACTGATGTTCTAGGTAATTACTCTTGGGGTTGGAGCAAAATTGGCCCCAAAGATACTGCCATTTTGTATTATTCTTGACAAGAGGAGAGAGCAGGTATTTCACACCACAGACAAGTTCTTCCATATACTGGCTGTGACTTTAGCATTTGAAATCCCTAAGTGGGTTTATGCTGTGCAGATAAGGAGGCATAAAAAGTTTCCTTAAACCCATCAGCCTTAGATCTGTGTAGTTTTTATAGTCATTGGAAATGAGCCACTTAACTCTGCTCTGAAAGCAGACATAAACAATACATAAACAAGTACGGCTGGTTATGTCCCAATAAAACCTTCTTTACAAAAACAGACAGCAGGACAGATTTGTCCAGAGTTCCGGTACCATAATTTGCCAACGCCTGCTTTGGACCAATAGTTTTCACTTTTTTTCTTTTAATGGAGCCTTGCAGCAGTCTCTTGAGACTCAAGGAAGGCCAAGCAGACAGGAACCTGAATTATCTCTGCTTCAAATAAAATAGTTTTTATTTTTATGATATGTGGACCCTTGTATGAAATCAGGTTTGATTAAAGAGTTTCATTTCTAATAAGGAGAAAAGCTTTAAAACCACAGCCTTGGACTAAGCCTAAAATCTGCTGCCTTAAAACTCAAGAACAGATGTTTAAGGCAAAACAAATACATCGTTTGACATCTTTTAAAATGATCATAGGTGGTACACATTTGTTTTGATGTTCCCAGAAATTCACTTTCTCGTAAAATTGATAAAAGCATTTAAATAGATAACTTGAACAGCTCTAAAAATGTTATTGGCTTATCATTCCTATTTCATTTCAGCTTTTTCTAAACATAATGTTTAAGGTACCTTAAAAGGTCCAAGAGAGGTGGTAAGAAATAATGGAAAAAACACCAATTTAGGAGACTCTATTTTCCTCCATTGTAAACTAGATTGTGAGCTCCTGGGAAACAGGAAGTAAGTTGTCTTCCTCGTCTTTGAATTATGCTCAGCACCTAGATCAGAACATGACACCAAGTTTTAATTTTTAAAGCAAATGCAAATTAACTATTACATAGCCAGGAAGAAAATAAATTCAGGTAGTTTATTTACTTATATCTTTCCATAATCTGTAAGGAAAAAAAGCATATCTTTCCTGATTGTATGCTAAGTTGCTTCAGTCACGTCCAATTTTGTGCAGCCCTATGGACTGTAGCCCACCAGGCTCCTCTGTCCATGGGATTCTCCAGGCAAGAATACTGGAGTGGGTTGCCATGCCCTCTTCCAAGGGATCTTCCTGACTCAGGGATTGAATCCTGGGTCTCCTGCATTGGCAGGCGGGTTCTTTACCATTAGCACTACCTGGGAAGCTGCTTATAGTGAGCAACAAAATAAAAAGTTTGTACTTTGAGATATATTTTTAAACCTAGAAAATTAGCATGTTTAAAACACATAAAAGCTGATAATTGGGTCCACAAATCCCTTATGTGCACTTCTTAAACACAAAAAGCTCTGGAAGTCCAACATTTTTGTTTTGTATTTTTAGTGACTTATTTGACAGTCAATTTAGTCTAATCTAAACTTACCTGACAGTAGTAGCTGACCTGAACTGAAGGTGGCTACTTACTGGTGTTTATCTACCCCTTATGAATAATCATAACGTTTGCTGCAAGAAATATTACCCTATTTGATTACGCAGCGTTTTCCCTCAACTCCCTAGGGTGTTAAAGAATACTTAGTATATCGCATTCGGTTTTACACAAACTCACCAGACAACCCCAGATCTTTTCCCGGTTGCTTTCCACATAGGAATCTAGAGTCCCATTCCAGCCTCTCTGAGGCCATGCCCCCGGTCCCAGTTGCTTTTCTGCCGCCATCTTGAGCAACAATTGTAGTGCAAACAGCTTAGAGTGTCTTCCTGTTACGGCAGTTGGAAAAATATATGTGCTTCCCGATTATATATAAAGTCAGCATTATCACTTTGATGGTCAATGACGCGTTAACAAAGAACATCTTGGTCTTTTATAAGCACCTTTCTATTTTCATCACTGGACACTGAGCAGTAGAGGATGAGAGTTAAGTTACAAGCTCTTAGCCTTGCAACGGAATCTGCTCAATATATTTACCATTTGACTGATGCACATTTTAGCCAGTATGTAAGAATTTCCCGTTAAGTGTCGGCAACAATAGGTATCTGTAAAGAGAAAGTAACCAGAGGCCCTACAGTGGCTCAGCTCCAGCAACAAATCCATCATTACTCCATTGAACTGGCACACTCCCCACTATCTCTCTTGGACCCCACCCTCTGGCCGGCAGGATCCTATCTAGAGATCTCAATTAGAGATTTTGTAGTAAATAGCACAGGTTATGCCCCATAACGCTAGAGGAAATGGACCCGCCTACTCCCTAGGGTTTGGGAATCTGGGCTTGGATAAATTATATCGACGAAAATTTAAACCACAATGCCAACTTATCCCGACACCATTTCCTCAGAAAAAAAGCAGACTCCAAATCACCCCTCTAAAAATGCCTCTCTTTAGAATTGCAGAGTTAGTGGATGGGACACTGTGCCGGACCCCACCTACATCGGGCGCTCTCCCACAAAGTCGGGGGACCGCGCCGGTCAAGCCTAAGCTCTAGACTCCTCCCCTCAGAACAAGCATCCCCACCCTTCTCCGCTACTTCCGGCCCTCACCGAACGCCCTCAACGGCGCTTGCGCCGTTTTGATAGGCTTCTCGAGTGCAAAAAATCTGAGCTCTGCCTCTCAGGAACCGCCCCCGCCTCCTCTTCGCCCCGCCCACGCCTCACCGGCCCCTCCCGAAATCTCGCGAGGGTAGGTGCGCGTCCGTGTTTTGCGGGCAACTAGCTCTCCCAGCAGCTGTAATTGCTGCTGCGGGAGATAACTGAGGTGCTGTCGTCCGCGCGCCCGCCCTCCCCCACTGAGGCGAGCCACCGCCTCTTTCGCTCTCCTCAGACACCTATCGCCGGGAGCGGCGGCAGCAACAGTCCCTGGGTCCACCGCCGCCTTCTCAGACGGCCGCTCTGCTGGTTATTGCCTCAGTCCGGCAGTTGCCGGCGGCCCCCTGTCCAGCTCCTCTCTTCAGATCGTCTGCTGCCTCCTCATCCTCCCCGGGACCCACCTCCCCACGGTTCGCCGGGGTGGAGGACGACGTGGAGGAGACGAGAGTCACCCTCCCTCCAGGCGGCGCCGGCCCCCTCACCCGCGGGTGTGTCCTATAAATGGCGTCGGAAAGCGACACGGAGGAATTCTTTGACGCCCCTGAAGATGTGCACCTAGAGGGCGGCGACCCTGTCGGGTAAGTAACCGGAGCCCTGGCCCAGAAGCCAGGCGTCCCCGTCTCCCGGCTTCCCCTGTGCCTTCCCCCCTACACCCCTTCCAGGTCCCGCCGCCGCAGCCCCTCTGCGTCTCCCTCGGCTACTTCAGAGTGAGTTCGGGGGAGGGCGATCGCCCACCTCGGGCAAACCCCCCTCTTGGCCCTGGTAAACGGCCCCCGGGCTTCTCTCGGAGCCTCTTTCTCTTGTCCAGCTTTCTGCGAGGTGGGACAGTTTATGAGCTCGAGAGCCGGAGATGTGTATTTGAGGGTTTCAGAGCTTACCTTGAAACATCCGTTTTGGCCTTGGGGGCCATAGATGAAAGGAGCGGTAACAGGAGAAATTGCAGTGCTGGTTGTTGTTTTCTTCTTTTGCCGCTAACTTACCTATCCGATTCAGAGGTGTCTCTACTCCCTCTTTGCCGTCTTTTGGTTGTACAAAAAGAAAAGGAGCGGAGCGCGGGGAGGGGGAAGACTGGGTGTTTACTTAGGAAAGTCCTCTAGCTGATGTACTCTAGATCCACGGTGTTTTATTAAAATAGCACCTTGCCGTGAGGCAGAGGAAATCGAAGACGAGGTCCTTTACCATTAGCGAGACTGCGGTCTTGAGAGAGTTGCCATACAGAAATGTGTACAACCGACTACAGCGATACAAACAAGTGCTGAGTAATCTGTGGTTGGAAGGAGAGCCACAGCTTTGTGCTCTTTATCTATTTCTGCAAAATGTTTTAGTGGTGATTAATAGGGAGATTCTGAGTAGGAACTACAGTAGTTGGAATGCTTCGCTTGCTTGGGACTTCTACTGACCCACTCCCGACGCTTCCAAGTTGGAATAATGTTTAAAGCGAGTTCACCGAACTCTTCTACTGGTCTTGTGTGGCACTAGAGGCAGTGAAATACATTTTCGTGCTGTAAGAACTTGAAAATGGGTAAAATTTGTCATGTTACTGTAAAAATCATTAATATGGTTCCAGAAGTCAGCTGCCTTCAATTTGCAAGCTTACCCGTGGAAGAAATACCTTAATGCAAATTAATGTTATTTGTACGTTCTAGAAGTCGTTCTAAAACTGAATAAGTATTATATATATATGTACCCCATATATACATATACATAAACATATATAATATATAATATGTACCCCAAAAGTTACAGCAACAAAAGCAGAGAACATGTACGTTGATAGGTCGTTAATGAGTGTGTTTCCACCAACCTTCAAATCACTAGTATGGGATTTGAAGGTGGCAATGGCCAGTCTTGAGATGGCATTGAATCTCCTTCAAGTTCAATATATGAAACAAATTCACAGCTAGATGGTAGAGGATAGAAAATTGACTTGGATTTCCAAGTATATTGGAGTCCTCTGAAATTAAATTTTGCCTTCGTGGTATTCCCCTTAAAGTAATCATATGATTTAATAAATTTAGAGCTGTATGAATATTGTTTCTTTTCAATGAATGTAATATTTAATTGTGAAGAGCAGCTACATCAGGACCTGTGTAAACTGCCTAATAGTCCAGTACCTGGCAGAAAGAACTCCAGTGTTCATTCCCTTCTCCTTCCTTTCTTGTAATTAGCAAATTTAACTTCACAGGGTGCTTACTTTGGGAGGAAGTATGCACAACTTTGGATTTATTTAACTTATCTAAACTGAATGAGTCATTTGATAGAATTGCTAGTCACTTCTTCCCTCCTGGGATAATAAACTTCTCAAGCACTTTGATCCTTTGATATGCTAGGTGAAAAGTAAAAACATCTCTTAGGACCCAGCCTTCTGATTTTAACTCTAATCTGCCCAAATATTGAGGATGTTGAGCTCTATGGGTAAAACTACTGTCAGTCTGTGAATTTCAAGGCTCCATCCTGCATTATTGAGGGGATTTCAAAGGAAATTAAACTCAACTGGAGAATTTAATCTGAAAAAAACTAGCAGTACTGAGAGGACTGCATAAGGTTGGCATTATTAACTTGCCCTCTGTTCTTTGTGACGGTTTTTGTTATTTGCATAAGGTACTGTGAGGAAACTTGGCTGGGTAACTAACAACCTAGAAATGAGTGAGAAATCTTGATTTGCGAAAACATATGGTATCATCAGATATCAGTTATTAGAAGTATCTTCTCTCCCTTGAGATACACTCGGAGCTTTACACCATATGCAGTCTAAGAGGTTAACCGACCCGGTTTGGGCACTTTAAGAAATGTTCCTTGCATTGCATGTTCTAGAGTACACAGAACATTTCACCAGAGTGTAGTAAACTGAGTAGGCTGTTGGGAGTTATCTCATATGTTTTGTTAATTAGCAGAATCCAGATAAACAATCCATTTCCTAAAACTGATTTCTTTATTCTTTTCCAATGGTGTCTTCAGCTTTGTTATTCTACTCTTTGGCATCAGAGTTAATAAATAAAGTTAAAAATCAGTCCAGTTTTTTATAGGAAGACTTGATTTGAATGCAGCTACTTTTCCACAGTGGCAGATCATCTCCACTTGTCCAGCTTTGCATATACATCACAGTTACAATGCTTTATTTGATTGATATTTTAGGTCAGATTTCCTTATTCTTTTCTCCGTTTTAATGAGGAACCTTAGGCTCAGAGAGGTTAATAAATTGGCCTAGGGGACACAGCTTGTAAGTGACAGCTGGGATTTGAAACCATTTCTTTGGACTCCTACTCCAGTATTTTTTTCTAGTACATCATAGCTGCCCCATACTGGGTGTGTGCTCTGTGTGTGTGTGTGTGTGTGTGTATTCAAGGTGACTTCCTCCAAGAGATACTTGAGTCAAATGCTTTAGGACCAACTTGCTAAATTGAACTGATACATATATTTAAAACTAGCAGCCCAAACTTCAGTTCTCTTGACTAGAAATTCCCACTTTCTCTTTCAAGAATGTGTATTTTGTTTTGTCATATAGGGCTGTTATAAGATCATAGCATGTTACAGCTGGAAGGGACATCTAGTTTAACTCATTCATGTAAAATGTGAAAGCCAAAGCCCAGAGAAAGGAAAGTGGCTTGTCCAAGGTGCCACAGCAAACTAATGGCAAAGTTAGGACTTGAATCCAGATCAGTTTCACTGTCTAGAATTATCTTTTGCTATCATGCTATCTTTTGATAAAGCAGGAAAGGGAGGAGGAAGTTTGGTATAGTACAAAAAGGCCCTGGACTATGAGTCATTTCATTTCCTCATCTTTAATTTGAGGAGAGTTTAACAGACTTGATGGTATTTAGTACATGATTTAAGACCTGTAGATTTGAAATTAGATATTTACTGGATAAATTATATGTGAAATGAATATTTGTGCTATTTTGTGTGGATTATGCATACACATACTAAAGGCTGGCACTGAGAACATGTTGTAAAAACAAACGTGATGTTTTGAGCATTCTTTATTTTTTTTATTGGAAGAAATGGTAAAATTTTTAGAGTAGGAAGGGACAGAAGATCATTTGGCCCAGCCCTTCCATTTAACTGAAAGAGAAACTATGCTCAGAGAGGGGAAGTGACACATTGCTGATTAGCGGCAGACTCAGAACTAGAACCCAAGTCTCCTGATTCCTCATTTATACCATGATGCCTTGTCAGTAGAAGGAAGGAAAGTATTGGCAGTTATCCCTGCTGTAGGTTTCTGGCACATACTCTGTTAGCGGGACTCCTGAGGTAGTCAACTACATCTACCATGATTCTGTTTCTTTCATGTCTTGCTGTCAGAGGACATGGAGTGTTCTAGGATCCTCACTTTTGCCCACTAATTTTCTCCAAGTCTGGATGAAAAAACGGTGACAGAACAGCTATTATAAGAACAGGGATGGTTATTTGTTTTGTTTTGTTAGTTTAGAGTCAGTTGCAGTCTGTTATTTTAGATTGGAGTAATAACCCAAATCTTGATTTTTAAGTCATAAGAACTGAGATCAAACTGTCCCAAAGAGTTGTTTGGTCTAAAAAATAAAAAGTTGCCTAACTGCCTTTGTTGAAAACTCAGTTATTCACTTAGACTTCAGAAACATTTCTCTCTGAATTGAAAATTGATGCATTTCAGTTAAAAATTATTTGCGTGATATGGGTTATTTAACAGCCCTATTAAAAATAAACTGTTATTTAACAGCCTTATTAAAAATGGCTGTTCATGGGTTGGGCTGGAAGCATAGATGAATTATGGATTATATTTGATTGCCATTGGCTTTGTGGATTGATAGAAACATATTTACATATGCTTTTTTGTCACACCATGTACCATCATGTAGAGGTAGGAGGGGACCTTTTACATATTAATTAGTGGATTCAGGCTCTAAATTTAGTGGCCTCCAGCTGTCAGTTTGGTGACTCAGGGAAGTAGGACAGTCCGAAGCAGCACTGCAGTTTGGGGACTCAATTTGAATCTGTACAAACTCTTATAAACTGAAAACTTTATTCTGTTCTTGGGATAACCTACTTCAAAAAATAGGGTAGATAAAATTTGATCTTTAAAAATGTTAAAAGCCTAGTTAGTTGTAGGATGTTGACAGTTCAGTGATGGTCCTACAGAACAAAAAGTAACTTCTAATTGTTGTTATTTGAGACCTGTATAACCTTCACAGTACATGGCAGTCCTTGTGTTCTTTTCAGTTCATTGTTTAGATTTTGACAAAGTCAGGTGAATTTGCCAGGCAAACATCTTGAAGAGGCTGTTTCCTCCTCAAACTCTGCCTGCAATTCTGGTATTACTTCCTGGGGTATGTAGGTGGTGGACAGGGTGGTGGTGATGGTGGTGATGGTGAGGGAGTAGGTGGTGAAGGTAGCCCCCCAAGCCAAGAGAGAGAGACCAGGTTCTCAGACTGCTTACTGGGACATGGATAACTGAGATCAGACAAATCACAGTATTTAGTATTGTTTTAGATACGCACCTACACAGTGAATTAAACAACCCTTTCTGTGAGAGATTAATAGTCTATAAGAATTAACTCAAACAAAATTTAAAGTAATAAAAATTGTAGGTACTTTATGATGC